AGAGGTTTATTTTGTCTGGGTTTAATTTTATTATGAAAGTTAGCCAGCCTGAGGGTTTAGATAGAATGGGAATTTATCTCCTCTAAGCAAATTCCTTTGAGAAAAGGAAACTTAAATACAAAACAAAGCGATAACTTTCTAAAACTGCCTGATAAGCAGGAGGAACCACAGCTTTTGGTTCTTCCTGTTCAAAAGCTTTTGAAATTTGCAGAGTGGGCCCCTCTTAAGACAGCAGAACTAAGTGAAATTTCAGATTCTCCCAGGCTCCTGTTCCCAAACAGGGCTCCTGCTCTGGATTGATATTGCCATAGCTACACTTCTGCTATCCGAAGTATGCAATTTCCAAGGCAGGTAAAAGATATTGTTGCCTCTTCTTCATTACCCTACTTTAAATGTTGCTGTTTTAGAAATTAAGTTTTGGTTTATTTCTTTTTCTAGCCATAATCCTTGTACACTAAATCCGGGAACTGGAAATAGAGGTTGATACTTCTCATTTTCTGTGCACCACCAGTGAAATAGGATCTGCTTTTCAACTTAAGCTGTGATTACTTCTACCCCTGTTTTTACAGTCATGTTCTCAGTGGCTTCTGAAGTCTCATAACATTTCATTAAATCAGTCAGGGAACTGATTGGTGAATAGATCTGTGATAACATGTGAGAAGGGAAATTTAATTTTAGTCTTATAGATCCTACTGACAAAAAACAAACCAATGAAACAACAACAACAAAAAACAACCAAACAAACAAAAACCACAAACCCACAACCCAACACAGAATAAATAGAAATTATTCATTATATTTTGTCCTATTATTCAGAATAATTCTGAGTATGAACAGGGAGCAGACGTGGCAATTAGGGAGAAAACTATGCACCATGGGTCAAAGTTCCTGGTTTGAGGAAGGAGATAACACAGCAACAGGTTGGGAAAGCTGGCAAGATGTAGGTCCAGTTGCTGTGTTGGAAAAGAGGGTAACAAGAAGAAGGAAGGATGCAGGGCTGGGGTACCAGGTTTGAGGAGACAAGCGCACGTCTCCATTTGTCTGCTTTGATTGCTTGTGTAGGAATGGTCTGAACAAGGCAGAGTTGCAAGGAGACACAGCTCATCCTTGGAGCTCACAAGGAACTAACATGAGACCTCACTCTCGCTTGGAAGTAGCTCTTAAGTCACTGCGGAACAGGAATCTTTTTTCTTTCTTTCATTCTTTTTACCTGGAGAAAGAACAACAGGGTAGGGCACTAGTAGTACTTCCCTGTAGGATTTTCCTGAGGGAGCAGCAAGGCTTGGCTTGGTTGGAAGTCCCCGAGCAAGTGGGCAAAGGGAGGAAATCTGAAATGGGAAGGGCTGGGAATGTGTGTCGGGGGTGACAAAAGTGATGTAAGGGGAGGATCAGGAAAAACCCTGCCTGAGACAGTACTTTAGTGAATTTCTATGTCCCCACAGAATATTTATACAACAGTTGAGCCCTGACTATACCAATAAGCTCAAGACTTTCTTTCCCCCATCGTCTTTTTTGTGTAAGTGACTGGTTGTGTGTCTTTTAAATACATCTGTCTCTGTTTTTGCCCTTCAGAGGGCTGGAATCTAAAAAACAGGCAGAAAAGGTGTATGCAGACTTTCCAATTACAGCTGATGTAGAATAATGATGGATAAAAACCCAAAGAAATCTAGCATGGGAGCTAAGTGTCTCCTAAATCTGGATCCCCACACTGCCTGCAGAGGGGTGGAGGCCTTCCTCATCTTGAGCAATTTTGTGGTCTAAAGGCTTACGTCTGTGGAAGTACTACATGTGCTGAGGGGACATTCTCTCCTCTCTTGACTTTCTATAGTGACTAAACAAATGTGACTCCAAGCAACTCCAGAGCTGACCTTCATCTACACATCTCACAAACATGAAATACAATGCCAGATCCTTACAAATAAAAAGATTTGATCTGCACCATAATTATTATGCTGGTGTGACTTCAACCAGCTAGCTAACATCAAAGAAGTCAAAGGTGAAGAGACCTGAATCCAGATTTACAGGCAGATCATGCCACACATGGTAAGTAAGGGGGTAGTTGTCTCTAATAAATGTAAAAGCTGAGACCCACATGCTAATTACAAGTTTGTCATGCTAGAAGTTGCCAGGATAAATCTTGCTCATGTATCAGAAGTGGTTCAACACTTCCTCAAAGTAAAGAGGCTGAGGTCTCAACTCTTCTTTGACAGTGGGGAATTCTTATGTTGGGTGTTCTCTGTCAGGCATTGATGATCAATACTGTTGACACAGAAGTATGATGAATTTGTGGTCACTGTTTTTTGAGGAATGGTATGAAAGAGGTAGATGAATATATGACAGCATGACCTGCCCAAGATTATAAGCACGTTAAGTATTAGAGATATTTTAAGAGTTGAGACTGACTATGCAGTACAGTTTGTTTGTGTGAAAGTTATTTTTGAGTGAACTTTGGAAGTACAGAAATTTTACTTCTAAAGTTGACATGGACTAGGGAACCACATGTACTTCAGCTGTTCCCAGAGACTGCTGAAGCGTCTGGAGATCTGGTATGGAGCCTACGCAGTGATTGCAGCATAGTACCGACGATGAATTATGTGATAATACAAGTGACAGGTATTTTGGTTACAAAGTTGCCATGTTATAATAAGAATCTGTTAAATTAATTTAGTAAGGCTTATCTCATGCTAAATTAACAAATCTCTTTTTTTAAGTATAATATTAAGTCCTCCTTTTGCAGTCCCTGTGTAAGATACTCAATGCTTTACTTATAGTTACTTGTCTTTTAGTATGTAAACTTAGCAGTAGTCTCAATTCCATCTTTGGCTAACCAAAAAGCCATCCAGGGTAATTATGAAGAGCTTTGATGTAGTAATTGTCATGCAATTATTGCTCATGTAATCTCATGTAATAACTGCTCTCAGGAGCAGTATTTTTAACCTTTTTTTTTTTCTTCTTGAGACCATGAACATTTTCTATTTTGTGTTACACTTTCCCATGAAGAATAAATATCTCATGTTGGTGGACAAGATCGGGGCTTCATTCTGGTCCAACATGTATTCTTAATTTATTGTTACTAACTCTCCCACCAGCTCTGATTTGTCAGAGCTTTTATTGCAGGTTTTTTTTAGCTCTTCAGCTATTCAGGTTTTGAGCACAAACTATATTAGGATCCTATGACTTGGCTAAAAAACTTGCTTAAGCTGTTGAGTGCCCAGAGCTTATGCAGAATCACAATGTCAACATAAGAAAAAGGAGAAATGAATAGGAATGGATGAAACAATTCTGTATTATTTTAAAGCATTGTATTTTGTGGTCAAAAAGCCTCAATGTGCTTCACATGTTCATGAAGAAACTGCATTTGACTTGGGAAAAAGGTAACTTCAACACCTGTGTAAGGGGCTTGGAGAAATAAATGCATAAAAATGTTGTAAATACAATGTTACTAAGAAAATCTTCTTGGTGAATAGTGAAAAGAAACAGATTTTCAGTATTTGAAGATATTTATTTTATACTTCATTTATTCGACTGAAATAATTGGGTTGGGTGATTTATTATGCTTGTTTTATAACCTGTTATGCAAAAAGAGGTGATTTGGAAAGCAAATAATCTAATATAAAATGACAAAGCATAGAGCAGCTTCAGAAAACACAGGCACACGTGAGAAGTGGAAGCATAAGAAGCAGTATTTACAGATGGAATGAAGGAAAAAGTCAGTTCAAAATTAACTACTACAGCATGAGGTCAAAGAAGGCAGCTTCTTGCTGGATTATCAACTTGAATTAACTCCTGGGAAGCAAGAATCAGGATGCAAACAAGGGCAAAGACTGCCTGATCGTATTCAGGGATTTGGTGAGGAAGAGTAATAAAACACCTCTCTTGGTGGTGGAGAACCATTAGGTTGGCCCAGGTGTTCAAGAAACAGAGCTCTTTCTTGTGTCAATGTAATGGATTGTGTGGATCCATGATTAAACAGATCCAATAAAAATTCAGCTTTAAAAAACAATGGTAAAAATAATCTTAAACTGGGGTTACAACCAAAAATTCCCTCTCAAATTGGCAATTACTGGGAATTAAATTTTCAGAGCCTTATATTCTTGGACTTCCATCCGTTATTAACATTATCCAATTTATTTAGCTCCCCAGCCTGCTGAAGGCAGTGGCACTTCATCTGTTCCTCACTAAGAAAGCATAGTATTAATTCAAAAATATCCTTTCCTTCACAGAAAACCTGATATTTCAGTACAATGTATTTAAATTAGTATTGATTATTTGTTGTCAGCGTAGAAGTAAAGATTCAGCAAGTCCTAGCTAGACTTGGTGCAGCTTTGGGTCACATAAATGTGTAAGACTAAACTGGAATATGTTACCTAGTATTCAGGGATTGTATTGGGAGAGGTGCAGGTACCTCTACACACATCCCAGTATGAAAGACAAATGAGGCAAGTTTCCAGTGACCAAAATGCAGCTATTAAGGCCCGAATTACACCTGTGGCACGGCATCTCTCTGGAAGCTCTCCCAGAGTTTTAGGGACGTGCCTTAAAGGCATGAGTAGGCTGAAAACACGTTTTGGAGTCCCGCTTATAGCGGAAAGGTACGAGCAGCGAGACGGCCTACACTCCAGGGAGACAACCCGCCACCTCATACCCATCGCCTCAGCGCCCCGCTCCTCAGGGGCGTCCACAAGCCGCCCAAGCACCGCCGGTTGTGTCCCGGGCAGCACAGCCCGGTGCCGCGGCGGGGGTGACCGGCCCACACCGGCTCAAAACCGAGTCCCGGCGGGGCGCGGAGCCGGGGACGCGGCTGCTGTCGGGAAGGCCCGCGGGAGGCCGCCCCGCCCGGCTATTGTGTCTGGGGCTTAGGCGCCCGCCTCGCGCCTGAAAGACCCTACTCCCCCCCAGAGCCGAGCCAAATCGGGGCCGGGCGCCCGCAGCGCGCTGGCGGGCGGGCTCAGGCGTTTTCATCGGGCAGCCGCAAAGGGCGAGGACCCCGCTCCGCTCGCTCCCGGGGCCGCCTCGCCTTACGCGCTGGCGTGCGCGCCCCCGCTCTCTCCCGTCGTCGCGGAGGTGCAGCGGGCGCAGGAGCAGCGCGGGCGGCGGGGCCGGACTCGGCTGAGGCGGCCGTTACTCCAGCGAGAGCGCAGCGCACTGAGTTCCCCTCCCCGCCTACCGCCTCCTCCCCCACCCCGGGCCACTCACGTCACACGGTGAGGAGGGTGGCAAGGCCCCTCCGGTCACCGGGGGAAGGGGGGGTGAGGTGGCGGGAAAGGGCCGAGCTCGGGGGAATTGAACGTTGGACGGCGACAAGCAGCGCCGGTCATGTGATCGCTGCGCGCGCGCCACAGTCATTTCGCTGAGGGGAGGGGGGGGGGGGCCACGCGCGCGCCGGCAGGTGCGGCTTTTCTCGCGCGCGCTCGCGCCCGCGCGCTCCTGGGCGTGGGGAAGCGGCCGTGTGCGCGCGCGCGCCCGCCCGCCCGCCCTCCCGCGTGTCCCCTCCGGCGGCCCGTTCCCCCGTAACGCGCCCTCGCTCTCTCCACTTCTCTCTTCCCTCTTTCTCCGCTCTCGCCTCTCGCTCACAGAGATGCCCTCGGCTACCAACAGCACCATGGCGAGCAGCAGCGGGAAAGCGGGCCCGGGCGGCGAGACTGCCCCGGCGGCGGCGGCTGCCCCCCAGGCAGCGGGCGGCAGCATCACTTCGGTGCAAACCGAGGCCATGAAGCAGATTCTGGGAGTGATCGACAAAAAGCTGCGCAATCTCGAGAAGAAAAAGGTGCTCTCCTGTCCCCCCGCGGGCTGACCCCCCCCCCCCAACCCCCCCCTCCGGTCGCCCACCTTCCTCGCCCCCTCCCCTCCCCCCGGGAATACCCCCGCTCTCTGGCGAGCCTTGCCCCCAGCGTGCGGCCGTCTCAAAGGACCTTGAACCGTTCCCGTTCTATTTTTCCTTCCTCTTCCTTGTGCCGGCCACCGGTCCCCTTCTCCCGGCCGTGCCCTCCTGTTCCCTGGGTGAGGGAGCCTGCGGCCTGCGCGGGTTGTTCCCGGCGTCGCCCCCAGGGGCCGCCCGCTGGAACGTTCCAGAAGGGCGAGCGCCTCTTTCCCGGTCCTTCCCTTTCCCCTTTCGGGGGTCTCCCGGCCCCTTCTGCTGGCCGCCCTCTCCTGCGGGCCCAGGAGCCAACCGGGCGCGGCCCCCGCCGCCCCCCCCGTGCGGCAGCGGCGGAGGGCAGAGCCCGGAGGGGTTGGGACTCCCGGACCCCTCCAGCCCCGCGGGCCGCGGCCGCCTTCTCGTTCCCGGCGAGACCCCTCGGCGGCGCGGCTCCCTTCCCCCTCCCTTCCGCCTTTTGTTTCCTTCAGCGGGGCCTTGCCCAGCCCCGCTCTCGGCTCCCTGCAGGGAACAACCCACCCTCCTTCATTTCCCTGCTTTTTTTTTCCCCTCACCCCCTTCCCCTCCTCCGTCGCGGGAGCACTCCCCTTCCCCAGCGAGGAGCTGCGGGGAGAGGCTGCGGCGCGCCGGGGTCCCCTCAGAGCCCGTGCACATGGAAGCGGGAGCTAACATGGCGGCGGCGGAGGCAGCCTCAGCCTCTCCGACGGAACTGCATTGTGCCAGCAGCCTGCACAAAGCCGGGGGCCGCCGGCCACCCCACCCAGGGGTTTTTCATCTCTCGTTTTTCATCACCCTGAGCTCACCCCTTCTGGGAGTCTTAGGTCAGCTGGAAGCGGCCTTTCAGGAGTTATTTTTAGAAATAGCAGTGACTAAATTCGTGGTCCTTGGACGGTTCGGGTTGTGACAAGAGAAAAAGGGTGTCGTGGTTACTTACGGTTTATTGGCACCCACTCAGTGCTCAGTGTTGCTGGATTAAATGAGCCTCAGAGGGCTTTCCAACCTACAGAGCATGAGGTGTCCGTCAGAAGAATACTAGCACATGTAGCCTAAAGTCTTGCTCCAAAACACCGTATTACTAAGCCAAAATTAGGGAATACTAAAAGATGATGTCTGCGTTGAAGCCCTAAATCTGTTTTTGCCCTTAGAAGTAAATAAGCACAATTACGCTTCTATGATTTTTTTTTAACTAGCCCTTTAGATCATAGTAGTCTAGACTAGTATTCCTTATTTGTATAAGATGGAAATACGAGCAGTAAATTAGCCTGTACAGGTGAGTTGCAAATGAAACAAACTGTGCTTTACCTGTAAATACGTGCACAGTGTAGTTACCCACTTTAAAAATGGATGTTGAGTTTTTCTGGTTTTAAAAAAATAATGACAAAAAGCAGCATGCTCGGAGCTCTTCTTGATTCTTATCTGAATAGGTAGGACAAGATGTCTGTCTTAAACTTGGCATTAATAACTATGAATGTGTATGCATACAAGAACACTGGCCCTCAACTTCAGAAAGAATGCAGATCTTTCTGTACATCTCTAGTTGTTTCAATAAAATTAAATGGTCTGAAATGATTGTTGAATCTAACATACACAAAAATCCTCTAAAAATATTTTTCTGTGATGTTCAACATGTAATTTTAAAACCTAAAATTAGCAGGTGATCGTTTTTCTGATCTATTCTGTACTTTGAAGTAATAAAGAGGATAAGCACACTCTTACTGGTGTGTGGGTCAGCTTTCCTTTCTAGTAGCGTTTTTATTTACCTTTTAAAATAAATAATTTACACCTAATTTACACTTGGCTTAGCCATTCTGTTTTATTTGAATGGACTTTGGACAACTTTAATAGTATCTTAAGTTAGAAAGATGTGTCAGAGGCTGTTACTCTGACAGAAGAGTGAAAATTGGTGACAGTGGTCTCATGGAGGCCCTAGATCTTGGGATGTGTTTTTTGTGTATCTGTGGCTGCTGTCACTACTTTTTATAACTATGGTGTCAGAGCATGTGAATAGAGAGGATGAAATGCCTCTTTTTTCTGGAAATGGCTTCTGTTGAAAGATGTTCTGTTAAAATTAAAGCATCTCTTTAGGGGGTACTTAGGCAGTGTGGACTTAAAAAAAAGAACAGGCAAAGGCTAGGTCTTGACAAAGAAAAGCTAGGTGTGCTCTCACACTGATGAATTAAAGTTCAAAGATTTCTCCCAAGTCTTAATGGACTGAAGCAGTTCTGAATTGTACTGAAGTAGGACTCCCGTGTAAACACTGTAGAAGCCATGAGATAAATTGTTCTTGGTATATTAAAGCAGAATTAATAATTTTCAGGCTTGAGCCTATCACTTGGTAGGGGAATCAACAGTTCTCTAGTAAATCAACATCAACAGTTCTTTAGTAAATCAGCATTCTTTAATAAAGAGAGTATTGCGTGCTTAGGGTCCTGACAAAGCTTTTTGTACACATGGGCATTGGTATTTTTATTTTATTACTTGATGAGTTTGCTTCAGTACACAAATTCCATCATTTTCCTTTATTTTTAATCTTTTGAGGAGAGGTTTTTTTCTGAAACCATCCAGAAAGTAAAATAGTACTGCATGCTGGAGTGGGTGAAAAATCCGTTAATCTCACTGAAAACTTGTGCCTAGCTGAACATTTAATTCTTTCTTTGTTAGCAGCTGATAACAAAGGCCAGTAGAGATGATCTTGAGAACTTTGTATTTAAGAATAAATACAAAAATATATTTGACTTAAACACGTGCTTTTGAAGGTTGAAAAATAATTGCTGTGTAAGAGGTACCATCTTAGGTTTTAAATGGTAGGTGCAACTTTTAGTTGAGGAAAGGTCATTCTTTATGAAGAAATGAGAAATTTTGAAGTAAATTGTTGAGTGTCATGTTTCCCTCTAAATTTAGAGGATAAAATGATGTAACAATCAAAATGCAGTACACAATATCAAATCATAATATTTATAACTTAGTTCTATATTATTTTGAATGCTTTTTTATAAACTGGAAGTACTAGATTATTAGTTACACTTTCATTTTTCTCTTTCTAAAAGTGACCTCGTTATTTGAAAGAATGAGTGTTGGCTTGTGTTAAAAGGGACTAGGATAAATTGAATTGTTGTTCATAAATGTATGGGAAAATACGGCCTGAAAATGTCTGTGTTCTCTTGATCTCAATATTTGGAAATAATAGGGATGCTATCCTCTTTTCCTCCTGTGTTCTTAGATGACTAGATATTTGTGTGTGCATAGGAGAGGGTAATTGAAGAGGTATTTTCTCTACAAGACCTTCAGACAAGCAACTTGAGTAGATGTTGACAAGTTTAGTTAATCCAGAAGTTACATGAACTCCTCTAGGTTTTTGTTAGGTGAACTGAGGTTTGAAACCTACTAGCTCTCCAGGTTCCCTAGGAGAAATACTTCAGTAAGACCTGCATTTTCTTCTTCTGCTTTTTGTTTTTTAGAGGGAAAAACCTTTCCAAATTAAGCCAGTTGGAGATCAAACTTGTGTCTTGATACAATGATGAATGAAAAAAGCAGTTATTTTTGCTTTCAGCTTGTGTAATATGGCATGAGCTATATAAAACCAGTTTTTAAAACCAAATGTTCTATCAGGGACAAAATATCTCATCTGCTAACACATGGTTTAAGTTATGGGCAGGTGATCACAAAGATGACTTTTGGGCAACTGTAAATATAAAGCATGTTAGCTTCAACTAATTGACATGACTTGAGCTTGGTGTACACAGTTAAAAAGATGGCACGTTTTAGCTGTAGCTGGTAACTTAAGATGCTATTGCTTTATCAGCTTGTCTGAATTTCCAAGTAAGTGTAGTCCTCACTGGGTTTAAAAATGAATACTGAAGAAGTGCCTCTGTCATATGAGGATTTTCACTGGAACAGCAGATGGGTATTTCAGGTTCATCTGACTCGATTCAATAAAATGTGGAGTTTCCCATAGGAAACAGTTACGAACCAACAGTAAAAGCTGAGATCAGTTTTCTATTCTTGTAGGTGCAGCTAATGATAGCAGGGGAGTGCCACGCGTCAAGTTGCCCGTCAGAAGCAGCACTCAAGTGCTTCTGCACCTTTATTTGAGCCGCTTCAATGTTCAAGGCTTGTTTTCAAATTTATCTTTGGAGGTTTATTTTTGGAGATTAAACATGATCTTGAAACAAAGAAATCATAAAATTTGTTTGAAACTGTGTATTGAAAGCCCAAATCTTTCTTTGAAACCTCCCTTGATAGCAGTTTTTAATAACCAAGCTTCATCCCTTAAAAATGAAGCAGGTTTATCTGTGAAATTATATGGTGGTTGCTACTTTCTAGTTTGACTTTGGTCTGGTTTCTTTTTTACTGTTTTATGTAGCATAGGGATTATTTCTCATATCAAGTTCAGTTAACTAGATACATGATAAGTCCTGCAAGCTGTGAAAGATCTTCTAGTTACTTAAGTTTTTCAGATGCTGCTTTGGTGTTTTGTTGATGCTTTTTCTTTTCTTTAAGAAGAAAAAGATGTACGGGGTGTGTTGGTAGAGCCCAGTTTGTCTTGGTTGTAGAATTCACTTGCTGTTATAAAATTAACTCATTTTCAACAAAGATGATGTGGAGAACAGAATCTAGGTCTCTTACTGTGTAGTCAGTTTACCTGTAGGTTTATAGTGGTTCTATAGGAAATACCTTGTGGTGATTTGGGAAGAGAACATATATATGCAGCCATCCAGACTTTCGGGAGTTTCAGTAATCTGTGGCTTAATTTAGTTCTGGTTAGTGAAGAAGCAATTTTTTTTTTTCAATCTGTAGTCAACTAATCAGAGTTTGAAAGGTTCATATTTTGAAGATTGCACATACCCATCTATTCTGCATTTCCTTGGGAAGGAGCGGGTCCCCCTGCTAGCCATTCTTATATCTCTTGCTATACGTGTTTGGTGGATCGGGTTCCTGACCCAGGTGTCAGTCTGGCCATGCCACTGTCCTCGCTGGCGCGTGGAGGTGTCAAGAATGTGTGGTGAGCAGAATACCCCTTTTGTGATCAGTGTCCTCTGCAGTAAGCTGATTGCGAGACTGCAGTGTCAGAATTGGTGTGTCTGTCACTCGCTTAAAAAACTAACACAGAGTGGAGATAGTTCTTTCTGAACTGCCAAACGTACCTGGGGGGGAGACCACAAGAATATTACAACTGTTATTTAAAAAATAAATGCAGTTTAAACAGAAGACTTATGTTTTGTGTTCTGGAGTATTGATGTTAATGTTTCATTACATCTTCTTGGTGATAACTCTGGACTGAAACAGCTTCTTGGGACTTGTTGGGTGTATATATATATTAGTAAGTGCACCCAGACAGTGAATGTGAGAACTGTGGCCGTTTTTGAGAGTTTCTGAACTTCCATGTTTCATTAAATTGATGCAGTTTAAGTGTTCTACCTTTTTGATTTGTTTTCTGCCTATTTTTCTGAGCAAGAGGGAAGACTGAATTTTATTTTGTAGTCATTTCTGGGCAGTCTTTGCTGAGAAGTTAGACTGATGAATGAGAGTGAACATGATGGTGAAGGGCAGACAAATTACAATGTACAAATGTAAAACTGGTTAATAAACTTCTGTTTTACAGCTTGGCTTTTCTTTTGCTTCAGTGCGAAATCTATTAGGCAGCTATTTTAAATTTTGTATTATCTTAATTGCTTGATTCTGTTAAAAAAAAAATACGTGCAGTTTTTGAGGTATGTCAAAAAACAGACTTGCAATAGTCCACTCCATCTTTTCTTAATTTGTAGTGAAATGTGCATTGCAAAATGTTTACTTCATTTGGTTCAAGAGGTTACCTTCTCCCCTTCCACCTTGCAGCTTGTCATATACGCTTGTGCAGCTGTAGCTGGCATAAACCATACCGTTGAAATTATCTGGTTAAATATAGTGCCTCCCTCCTGCTCCTGGCCCCCTTTTTAAGGGTTATTTTTAATTAGATCATTCCAGTGATACAGTTTATAGCATAGCACTGTAAATGACTGTAACAGCACAGCTGAGTGGTCAGGCATTTTTAAAAACAGTATTGTTTTTGAAGCTAATATCATGTAACTGCTTTTTTTTTTTTTTTTTTTTTTTTTTCACTTTAGGATGACATTTTGGTGGCAATTTGGAGGAGGTAATGAGAACTTGACTGTGAGGGGAATTACCTGTTACCATAATAAAGTAACTCAATTTTGGATCCCTATTAAAATAAAATCTAGGTCATACTTAAGCAATGAACACCACCACCTTCCCCCTGCCTTCCCTGCTCCCCCGGTATCCTATAGGTAGTGCTTTTCTCCAAAATACTTCAGGTATGTCAGTGAAAAAAGCTGAAGCACAGTGGCTTGCTATCTGCAGAACCGGGGACTGCTGACTCATGAGCTGTTTAATAGACAATTTATGTGCTCACTTTGCCACTTGATTTCCTCCCTGCCCCCCCCCCGCTGGTTTAGCTTTTATGCTTCAAGATCTATATCCGTGATGAGTGAGGATGAAGTTGTGTAAGGTGGGGTAGAATGAAAAAAATCTTCTTGCAGACACTGCAGTAGGTTGCTAAGCAGGAATTTTACTGCAGTTATTTTACAGCACTAATGCTGCTCTTAGATTGCTGTTAGTTGACAGTACAGATCAAAAAGAAGGCATTTTGCTTCCTTAATACTTTTGTGTAAAGCAGCAATTGTGTCTTACAGGGTCTTTGGGATAATAGAAAAATGCTTACTTGGCATTTGAAATCTTTGTGATAATATACAAGTAAATACCCATTTGTTTGTCCTCTGCATTGCAGCTAAAAGGACTTTCCTTCTTTTACCTTTCTGATATGAATGTTTTTAAGGAAGAAGAAGTTAAGTGCTTTTCTATTCCTAATTGCTATAAACAGACATATTACCCTTTGTTTTTTGAATAGAAATGAACAAAGCATTTATATTAGACCTAAGAATATTTGACCATTTAAGAAAAAGCAATGCAGTGTTTAAATATGTTATTGCAATATGCTTAATCTGAAGGTACCAACCATGCTGAAGTAAGGCTGCATGGAAAAAGTGTGCAGAAACAATTGTAGTTATTTAGGGTATTTTTGTCTCTTTCCTCCCTTGTGCCCTTAGCCACCAAAATGGATTACATGAGTGTTTTGCAGTGTAATTTGGCAATATATGTTTTCTGCAACAAAGTTGACCTAAGTAGGGTTCTAGAATTCTATGTGCTATTATGCTTGCTTTACTCTTGTTATTTATAGGTTCGTGGTGGAAACTGGATCACAGAAATTGTTGGGTTTTTAATGCATTTTTGCAGACACTGTTTAAACTGGCTCATATTAGCAGTCTATTTACTGTGCAGCCTCACAAACAATTGCATCAGTGTGACCAAGGGAATTGTAATCTGCAGCATGGGAGTAAATGACTTGAGCAAATGGGAACTTTTAAAAATTTCTTTGTCTGCGAAGCCAGTTCACTGTAGGATTTAAGCTACCTTAAGCATGGAGGCGTCAGTTAACCTGGCTGGCTTTGCACTGGGGTTTGCAGGGTTTGAGTTCTTCACCTTCCCTTTTGACTTCACAGCTCAGCTGTGATCTGTTAAACATTAAAACTACTTTTGTGATTGTCCAACCATGTTATCATCCATTCTAAAATAAGTAGGTAAAAGAGTAAAATGACCTTATTTCCTGTTGTGGTAGACTTCTAATATGCCAAATGCTCTTCAGGGCTATATTTTTGACATACTACCAACTGTGGTTGCTGCATTTGACAACTATTACCTTGCTAGTGTCTGTCCTCAGCATGAAATTCCCAGTAACGCATTTTTGGGGCTAAGGAAGTTCTTTGAATTTTCCTACACTGTTACTGGCTCTAATACACTGAAAGATAAAGTAGTTAAATGTTATATCTAACCTGTAGGTTTTCCAGAGAAATAAACTGTTGACACTATGTGACATCAAAAGACCAAGTCTCAGAAGGGTGGTTATGTGTTTCAGTAAGGGATGCTGGGCATCAGATACTTTGTAAGAGGAGCTTTCTTGTTAAATTGTTTCATAGGTTTAGGTTTCTCCAAAAGGTCTGGGATTGAGCACAGAAGTTGAACAAGCTAGAAAAATACCAGTAAAATATTTGAACTGCAATGTCCTGAAAGAAAAATAGTGAAAAATCAGAGACCAACAGCAATAAAAAAACCTGTCACTTGGTGGCAAATATAAACTCCGAAACAATGGTTGCATCAGGGTTTTAATTCTCTTACGTTCAAAATGAAGTGTTTTCATGATGTTGTTATGCTAGATTGGAAAGATAATTGTTAAGAATTCATTTAATAGCTTTTAGTAAGATCACGGCAAATTTTAAAAAAAGTATGATCATCTGTGATAATACAGAAATGGTGAAAGCTTCGAGCTTGGTAGTTAGGTATGTTATTCTTACAGACTTTGCTTCCTTTCTAAGAACCTTTCTACCTAGCCTGTAGAATTGTTGTCACTTGGGCATGCATAAGTTTTACCTGCTTTTGGCTAATGTCAGTGTTTTGCATGGTTTTGTATTTAAGAAAATTAGAGAACTGATCCTGCTGAAAGTTAACCTAATAATTCCTATTTCAGTTTCTCCCCATGAAAAAGAAACTTTAGTGTTCTCGATCAAAAATATTTTAGAGCTGTTAATATGAGTTGTGTTGGTGGGCATTCTTGCACAAAGGATTAGAAACTGTTTTAAATTCTTTAAAACTATCTTAACTGATGCAACTACAAAGAATTACAGTTCTGAATCTTAATAGAATTGGCAGTGGTGTTTTGCAGTTATGTTTTTGGTATTGTGATAGAGTGGTAGTAAGCTCTGATTCAGAACTGAGTTCAGGTCAGTTGTTTGGACGAAAGAAATGTGCATTGAGAGTGATTGGAGGCATGTGTATTTCCTCAGAAATTAAGACTAGTTATGAAGATATATTGAGATAGCCCAGGTTAAAAGATTCGTCTTTCAGGGAAATATTTACATTTTTATTAACTCAGAAGACAGTTTTTCTTGGGTACTATTTCTACATGACTGTTTCATGCTTGTGTAATGTGTTACAGTCTGTGTTTACTGTAGTATCACAGTACCTGATTTTCTTAGCACAAGTAGAAAAAAGTAGTAACCTGGTTCTGGCTCTTCATAATAGAATTTTTGTTTCTTTTCAGAGCAAACTTGATGATTACCAGGAACGAATGAACAAGGGAGAACGTCTGAATCAAGATCAACTGGTAAAAAGAAAAAAAAAATACTAACCAGATCTCTGTTAAATTGTTTTGTGATTTTTGTGGGAAAGGAAGGGATGAATTTCACTTCCCTTTCCCCTTGTTAAAAGCTATTTTTTTCTGAGCTCTGACTTGGCCTCAGTTTTTTATTGCCTAGAACATTTTGATTTTTCTGTTATTGAAAAACTGAGAGAATAGGTAGAGGAGTGTGTTATAATGCCTTATGCTTGTTGAGGTTAGGTTGTGAATAAGGTGTGGTAAAAATTGGCATATGTTATGACCTAGGACGGTTGAAAGAACTAATTGATACCTTTGAGGTTCTCTGGACATCATCTTTTTCTTCACAGAAAATGTGCCCAGAGAGAACTTAAGGAGCTTAGTCACTTGGTGGTAGCTCATAAATACTGTGCAGTGTAGTTAAGAGCTGTAACTTAGACCAAAGGCTCTGAAAATAAGCTACATCCGTGTGTATATCGCAGCTATTGGTGCAGCAGATGGGATGCTCTAGATAAACTGGACTTGGTGGATGTACGCTGCTTCTCTCCTTGTTGGGGCTGGTTCTTAAAGTAGGTTATTGTAGAGCTTGAGTCAACAGCATTTTTCCAGTTGTAGTAAATATAAAGCAAGCATCAAATTAAATTCAGTTGTATGATGCAAATATGCGTATTGATACTTAAAAAGATTACCAGATGCTCACTAATCAGCAGTGTTTTGTTGATGATTTTTAACATTGAAAAAAGTGAAGGGGAAAAAAATGTACCCTGCAACCATTGCAGCTGTTCACAATTAAAAGAATTAGCTGCTTCTCTTGGTCCATGTGATCTTTTTCATCTGTCTAGGCTTCAGTTTGGTTCTTCTGTGCCAGCTGAAAACTGAAATACCACTGATCTGTGTATTTTTATTTTTTAATGGCATATTGTGGAAACAAACCACAATAAGTTTTCTGTTTGATGAGCAGGGAAGATAACTGAAGTTTCATATTGAAGAGGGAAGCTCATGATTGAGTTTTATAAAGACCACAGCCTGACTGCCACATTTCATAAAGATAAAATATTTCTGGTTGGAGAAGTGCTGAAAGTATTTATTATTTTCACTTCTGTTTTCTGCTTCTTCAAATTGGCTAAGAATGGATAATTTTATAAATCACCTAATGTATATATGTAAGTTTTTTAGCTGTATTGCAAGTGGAAGTACTTAAAAAAAAAAAAAAAAGGCAAATGCAGTTCATGTTCCTTGCTTTTTAAAGAAAGTAGGATCTTCCCTTTTCTTTGGCTCGGTTGTTCTTACCAAGAACATATCCGTTATTAATTTTATCACAGCAGGAGTGTAAATGTCTTAGCCATTTTTTTTTTTCTTCCCCTGATTTGATTCTCTGTAATTTCTTAGTACCACAAAGTGGGTTAAGGAGTTTGGATTGCTTTGGTGCAAATCAGAATATTTTATTTAAGAAAATAGCAAATAATAAGATTTCTGGAAAAGGTAACATTATGCTCTGTATAGTTTTTTGAGTTTGGCTATGATTCAAGATAACAATGTGTTAATTCTCAAACCTTTATCTCTTGAGCAATTTTGAGTTACCAGGTTACTCTTCTCTCCGACTCTCTTGGCATACCAGTTAGTTTTTGATAGAAACTGGCTAAAGCCAGACATTAAACTAATGTCATGTATGTGAGCATATATATGCATATGCTTTAGCGTATTTATGTAAGAAGCTAAAGGCCCTAAAGAAATACACAATTCTCTTTGATATTTTGGCCATTGAAAATAAAAATGTGACTTAATATTGTTGCAGTCCCATTCAGCAATGCTGTGTCTCACTTAGGAACTAAAAATGTGGGAATTTGTTGGAATGTCTTTTGTTCTATTTGTGATGGTTCACTTTCATGTTTTATTGTTTTTTTAATTTTTTTTAAGGATGCTGTGTCAAAATACCAGGAAGTGACGAATAATCTGGAATTTGCTAAAGAACTGCAGAGGAGCTTTATGGCTCTGAGCCAAGATGTAAGTAAAGAGCAAACAGTGCGGTGTGGGCTATCCAAGCGCTTGGGCGTTAAACTCTCTTTCGCTGATACTAGATGCAGCAGTTGCCTCTATTTACAGAGATTAAATGATCATAATTTCTTCTATGTTTGGCTGTTTTCTTTTACTGTATTTACTAGTTTGTGTCATGCTTTCTGCAGGCTGTTCCTAAGATTTTTCTGGTGGACTACATAAATGTATGGGAACAAAAATAATGTAATTTTCTGACAAAATATAACAGTGTGATCACAAAACATGCCTGATGTGCAATATTATATACAGACATTTATTGCCAATAGCAACATTTTCTTAAAAGAAATTGATTTCACAGGCCTGCTTCTCTCTTTGGCAAGTGGCTGAGGGTTTTAATTTCTTTATATTACCATAGGGTATAAAGTCTCAGCAACTGAAAGCATTGAGGCTCCTTTTTCAAGATTCTTGCAATTTGTAATTGCAAATACAGTCTGAAACTACAGTATGAGACAAGTTTAATACTATTTTTGTAAAGGAGAAATTAACTGAATACTGGTAAAACAGGTAATCTTTTGGGTTGGTGTTTTATCAAGGATGTAAAATAGCAGTGTAATCAAGAACAAGTTCTAAAACTAGTAGACAATTCCAGTTGTATGAACAGCTTTGTTTTATTTCTTGTGCCAAGAGCTGCAAACTAAAAGATGTACTTTAGACCTCTGCAGTATCATTGCAAGGAAGAATTAATTCCGAGGCAAGCTAAAAGCGTAACCCATCCTGCAGGACTGGAAGGTTCTAAATGCAGTAATACAGTTAGAGTTAATGAGTTACAGGAAGAGCAGCAACATTGGTAGAATTCATTGTGAAGTTGATGTTAGTGCAGCAGACTGGTTTAACAAGCGCATTTAGTTTGTGAACAGACTATGTGATAATTTGAAGGGCATCAGCATCCTCACATTATAAACTGCTGTCTACATTTGATGTGGTTGTATGTTTGTAGGCCTCTAAGCCAAGCTGTTTCTTTGCTTTTCTTGCATCAGGGTTCCATGTATGTTTATGGAATGCTAGTAATGAAGAACTTACTTCTTCAGACAAGTTTGTCCTGAAATATTTCCCTGGTCAGCTGACTACTAAAAGAAGCGAGTGGATCCAGGAGTAATAAATTGGTGCTCTGCTTTCAGTTTTGGTTGCAATTTTTCCTGATTGGAGTTAGCTCTCGTACAGTTGATTTTAAGATATGTGTTTGATTTTTAAAAAAGAAGTTTAGATGAGTCAGAGGGAGAAAGTTACTGTCACAACTTACATTTTTTTGAAAGAGATTAAAGTTTTGTAGAGTTACAAAGTGAGCAAGCTGAATTTTGGATTCTAGATGCCTGGGTTAATAGTAAGAATGGAAGAAACATCCTGTAGGTTCAGACTAGTGATGCATTTAGACCAGTATTATGACAGCACTTGTAGAAGGTACTATGCAGAGTACAAGGCTGATGATTATGTGTCATCCATTCCCTTCCAGCATCAGTGATCCTCAAACTGAGAATGTTAGAGAGTAGATGCATTCCTGTTCCCTTTAGTGTCCAAGAACTTGTTTAAATCCTTTTTGAACTTGCTGATACTATCTCCCCAGCCTTCCATGGCAAAACATTCCATGAGTTCCCTCCCATGGTGTGTAAGAAACAAGAGTACTTTTGTTTAAGCTGATATCCTAGTAGTTTCAATGAATGCCCCTTACTGTCCTGGGATACAGTGAATAACCACTCTGTTCATGTTATCTACTGGCCTTTGTGGCCTTTATGAAAAGTCTGGATCACCCTTACTCCTCCGAATTGAAGAACCGGAGGCTTAGGCTCTGCTCTAACACAACTGCTCTGTCCCCTTCATCAGTTGAGTTGCCCTTCTCAGTACCTTTTCTAATTGCTTTAAGTCCTCCTTAAGTTATGGAAGCCAGAAGTTGTAAATAGCCACAATGTTTGTTTAAAAGGTACTTAATTTTGTACATTTTTGCCACTTTCATCTAGATCAAAATCACTTGAGTGTTTACAGAATAATTCATAAAGGAAGCAGATAGTAGCAAGCTGCACTTGTTTCAAATAACACATTCATGTCTAAAGCTTTATACATGGTAACTGCAGTTACTTGACTGAACTGCTTGTAAGTCACACAGAGAAGTAGAGACTTGAAGTAAGAATATGATGAAGATATCCAAGGTTTGTGGCATTGATTTTAAAGTTATTCTTTAAATTTCACCTTATTTGGCTGTACTGTTAGAATGATACGTGGCAGTTCCACACCAACATCCACCTCTACTTATTGATAAAAGACATTTCAAATCTTTTTTTTTTTTTTTTTCCCGAGTTCACTACAAAATCCAAGTTTAAGCAATTTAAGATTTCTTTTCATTTTAAACAGATCCAGAAAACAATAAAAAAGACAGCTCGCAGAGAGCAGCTGATGCGAGAAGAAGCTGAGCAGAAACGTTTAAAGACTGTACTAGAGCTACAGTTTATTTTGGACAAGTTGGGTGATGATGAAGTGCGCAATGACTTGAAACAAGGATCAAATGGAGTACCGGTGCTGACAGAGGAGGAACTGACAGTGTTGGATGAGTTTTACAAGCTAGTTTATCCTGAACGAGACATGAACATGAGGTAGACATACTGTGAAGTACTTTTCTTTTATAATTGTCAGTCAGTTAATGATGTGTTTGTGCTGTGGCAATTTAAAGACTTGGTAAGAAATTAACTGTTATTAATTATTTTTTTTAAGATTGAATGAGCAGTATGAGCAAGCATCTGTTCACCTGTTGGACTTACTGGAAGGGAAGGAAAAACCAGTTTGTGGAACAACCTGTAAGTATAGCCTCTGCATTAAGAGATGGTGCACTGAATTTATGCTTGAACTAAAATACAAAGTCTGAAGTAAGAGAACGTTGGCAGTTAATTATCTTTGCAAGTTATTTGAGTAGCTACTTTTTTTTCAGACCTGAGCTGGACTGTAACAGAATAACTTACTGAAGTGTGAACTTACTGTGTAGTGTTTTGTTTTTTCTTTTTTTGAAACTGATGCAGCATTACTTGGTATTTAAGCTTAGTCTGTACCTGCTATTTCAGCAGTATTCTGTTGATGCTTAGTAGCAATTCTTTGTCGTCTGGAAACATGTGTGTGAACAAGGAGTTTTGTCAATAATGAGACCTAATACAGAAACTGGCATGGCCTTATCTAGTGCGATGTTCACTCCCCCTTGTTTCCTGCAAAAAGCGTTCTGGTTTTGCCCTATTTCGATTGATTAACTCTGTAAATAAGGGTGTGATCATGCAGATTACTGCTTTCTTGCAGAAACGTGAGTTTTCACAAATACATAGCTTCTAATGTTAGACCTTAAGAAAACGGCTCTGCTAGGCAGTTGTCTGTATCACGGGGAATTTTTGAAATCTCTTAATTTGAAATCAATAGGAAAGTTATAGGGAAGATAGTATTTTTTTGTAGGTAAAATGGCTAACAACTTTCCTCCTTTTTAAAAAAAAAAATCAATTATCCTTATTAGAGTAGTATTGAGCTGTTGAAAGTTTTTTGTGTTCTATTCATAGGAGGTGAAATGATAGTATTGCAGTTGTTACCTAACATGCTTTATTAAGGTGTGATACACAGGAGATTGTAAGATACTGTGGCCTTAAGGGTGATAAGATTTTCCTTGTTTGTGGCAGAAATTCAAATTGTTTATATTGTTGAAATGAAATTTTGTGAGGAGATACCAGGCTAGTATTTTTTTTAATTAGTATTTATTCTGCAAGAACTCAATTCTGAAATGGTTGTGATGTTAGATCTTCGTAAGAGCCCAAAGATATGTACTACATACTTTTTTGAAGAGGAGGAGGAAGGAGAAGGCATGGGAATAGTTTTTCAGGAGAGAGTTGATGTGTGCTCTGTGGAGATTAGTCATTCTCTTACTGGATGAAGTTGGGCTGGGTATTGTGTCCGTATCTCCAGGTGAGCTTTCAGCGATGTCATTGGCAGTCATTGCTGGTTTGCTTTGTTTTATAATAGGGATGGATGTTAATGTGTTTCTGTGCTCTGCTCTGTGTGTTGATTCATACCGTGATTATCACCTGCCAGACGTGCATTGTAAATCTTCCAATTTGGAGTCTGTTTTGGTTTTTTTTGGCCTAGACAGTCAGTAATGCTGCCTTGCCAATATGACTGATTTGTTTTGGGTTAAGATGCCATGGGATTCATCTGAGACACTGAATGCAAGCTTGTGCTTGTTTCGCTTACAAGGCTGTTCTGAGCCACTTCACCTCAGGGGAAGAACCTTCTTGAAGGTGATACCTGTGTAAATTAATTTGTACTGACAGTTGTTTTTTAAGAAATGGATTTTCAGTAACGTTTTTTTTTAATTTGAAATTACAAATAAATCAGTTACAGTTGAAACTTAAGTGAGCTTCTAAAACTTTCCAAACTGAAACCTAAGCAAACAGATTTTTGAAACAGCAGGAATAGAAATATGATAATTAAATTAATAAACTTTACCTCAATTTGAAGTGTTTCACAAATCTTCTGAAGAGTACTATATACTCCTAAGATTCTCCTTGCCCTTCAGATTTTTCTGAATGGAAGTGGATTATTTGATATATTTAATATGATCTATCAAGATAGAAGAAATTCTGTAACGGTAGTGTCTGTAGACTAGTTTGGGGCAGCAACATCTTTCCAGCAAGAGTACTAAAATTCATGTAGGGTCTTTGAGAAGGAAAGAAAAGATGATTAGGGTTGAGTTACTGTTAATCTTTAACTTCTTGCATTTTCCTAGATAAAGCACTGAAGGAGATTGTTGAGCGTATTCTTCAAACTAGTTACTTTGATAGCACCCATAACCATCAGAACGGATTATGTGAGGAAGAAGAAGCAGCACCCGCACCTGCAGTAGAAGACACTGTAGCAGAAGCTGGTAAGAACACAAAGTTGCCTTATGACCAGCATATTTGTTTGTGTTGTACTGTCTTGTCTCTGTGGATACATCAGAATGATTAAATTGCAAATGCGGTTTTTAGTGCAAAAACCACCTGTTTCTGAGTTCTTCTGAGTACTAGTGTACTAGTGTTTTGAATAGAAATGTCATTTCTTGATAGTCAGGTATACATCTGGCCAGTCAACATATACAGGGGCAGTCAGCCACTCATTCAGCCTTGCTCTGAGCGGTGAGGGAAGAAAAGCAGAGCTGTATTCCAGGGGTTCTGTAAGGCTGACTCTTGCCAGCTATTACTTTGGAGGGACTTGTAATCTTTTTTTTTTTAAAATGATCACATTGTAAATGTCTTCCGTCACATGCAGGGAAAGGTTTACTGTTTCAACTGTGAAGCATCAGCTGAATGAAGGAACAAAGTCACTTCATAGTACTTGGTTTTGAATTCATATTTCAGTATTTGTCTGTCCAATATGTCACTTGCTGAAATGGGAATCCAGGATAACAATAAATTACTTGGAAGCAGGTTTATGCAAATGAAAATTATTGCCTACATCTCTTTCCTATTTTGTTCTGTAGAACTTCTCATGATCTATAAACAGAATTTTACTGATCCGTAGTATTAAAATGATCAGAGATTAAAGTTCTGGTTGCCTGAGGCTTTTTCAGTTTTTCAGTGGTTCCCACCAGTTTAATCCTTTGTTGGAAGGGCAGAATTCTTGAAGCAAGGAGTATGCTTACAGACTTAAGAAACTTGAGAATATGGTACCAAACTTTAAGAAAAAATTCATGACCATTTTTTCCCTTTGAATATGTTGTGGAGAAAATAGAAATTTGGCTTACCTGAACATAAGTCTTCATATCAAGAATTTAATGTTGGGGTTTTTTTCTTTTTAATTCAAAACTGAGGGTCTTTGCTCTTGCTAATTCTCTGTTAATGTCCTGACATACTTGTGCCTAAAAATGAAGAAAACAGAATTCTTCTTCAGCTTGTTACGTTAGATTTGTTTCTGAACCAGGTAGATACTTAACTGTACAAGTCAACAATATTAAGGCTCTATTTTCAGATCTAACCAAAATCCCATCCTCTTGATGATGTGTAACAAGACAACTCCTTCCTTAAAGTATAGCAAGCTTCAAATCCTAGGTATTAATGTCACTCAGGAGTGAACGTGTGTCTGTTCATTCTTATACCTAGCTGTACTTCCTGCATACTAGTAGTCCAGAACACTTATTAAACTAATTCTTTTTTGCTAAATGACTACTGCAGAAATGTATCAGATTCTTCAAAATTCCCCTTTTATTGGGGGAGATTTTTTTCATTTAACTCTGTTTTCTAGGTCTGTTAAGTGTAGGGTTTTTTCCACATAAATGGTTTATTTTTCTTACAGAACCTGATCCAGCGGAAGAATTTACTGAACCAACCGAAGTTGAATCAACTGAGGTATTATTCACTGGAAAGATTGTCATTTTGTATAGCTTTAATGCCACTTACTTTTACTTTCATACCCTTTCTTATTTTTATTTTAGTATGTAAACAGACAATTCATGGCAGAGACTCAGTTCAGCAGTAGTGAGAAGGAACAGGTAGATGAGTGGACAGTTGAAACGGTTGAGGTAAGATCTTATGTACTGCAGGTAAAATTGCAATCCCTGTTTCTGCTGATGCACAATTCCTGATAGGTTTTAGTATTGCACCCCTTCCCTATACATATATATAAAATACATATATTTAAGTAGGCTTGGACTCACTGCTCATTCTTCAATTACATATTTAGCTCAGGTATACCTAAAATAAAAACTACGCCATCTGGCCAAGTTTGCAGATGGGACTTAAAAAGTTTTAGGCTTGAAAAGACTTTTTTTGAAGCCTTTTTTTTTTTTTTTTTTTTTTAAGAGAACTTTGCTGCAAATGTAGAACTTAAGTTTATCTACACAGACAGCATGGCACAGTTGTGTGTTTCATTGAGGAGTTCTATGGAGAGGGAGCTGAAAATTGGTATCTCAACTAATATCTACTCCAGATTGCATATGCGCATAATTTGATGTTAAAATATGCTTGTGTGTACATTTCTGCTTTCAAGAACTATAATTCTTCAAGTATTTAACTTACCACTACTTTGCAGTTAAGTAATTGTTTACTTGTGATGTTTGTGGTCCATTGTTTTAGACTCTTTTCCTTGGTGTCTTCAGGCTCTTAAATGTAGGACTGGAGTAAGTGCTCATCATCTTCAAGTGGTGAAAAAGAGAGCAGCCTTTTTGACCTGATTAGAAAATCTGCCCAATTTTACATTCGGTCTGGCTGAAATTTATATCAGGGTGTTGAAGACCACTAAGATATTTAATAATACTTAGGATAGGTGTGAGACTTCTAGAACTAACTAGATAACTTTGCCATGTATGTGAATGACTTTGGTAGTATCTTCTCATAGTATTACATTCCCTTACTTAAAAACCCCTAAAATATAATTGCTATTGAATGTGATTTTAGCAATCTCTTTAAAATCAAAGAAACCCTCCAAAAGCACACATTAAAGTCATACTTGATTGGGGTATTCTTACAAGACACAGTATTTTAAAATTAATGTTTAATTGGCTTCATTCGATCTTGAATTATACCTACTTTACATCTGTGTTTCTACCAAGTGTCCAGAGTATCTTAGAGGTTCAGTTCTCTGTACTTCTTAATATAAGTAGTATCTATGAAGACATGAGAGTATAGGCAGTGTCCTTATGATTGAAGCCTTTTGTACTTCCCTCTGCTTTTAAACTGTAAGGCCGTGTATTGCACAGTTGAAAACTCAGACACTTCTTCATGGGAATAATAATAATGTGTGGTAGCTGTGTTAGTATGGTAAAAGAATTCAGGTCATAATTTTGTATCAGCTTGACTTCAGAAACTCCATTTTTATTAGTCAGCTAAATTGGGATTATATCAGCTTTGTTTTCATAGAAAAATATAACACAAAGAATATATACTTCAGTTGTCTTTTCTGTCCCAATTTCCTGGACTATGTACAAATGAACAATTTAGAAAGATTTAGAGTTGAAGAGGGCTTATTCATAACTAAGAACCTTATTTTCTCAGATTTAACACAAAAAGGGGGAATTGAGAATAACTATCTTTGAAATGACTCTTGCTGTTCTTACTGACACCAAAATCCCATTTCTCATAGGAATGCACCCAAATTGTTACTAGGGAAGATGATGGTAGACATTGTACAGACCCTTTGTTCTCATCAGCTCAAGGTAGTCGTGGCATTAGTGTAGTAAGTGCTGTGAATGATAGCTGTTAGCTTTGGAAGCTGATAGTATTCTCAAAGAGACCATTTACACAGAAGATTTCCATACTTGTTTATAAAGAGGAAGGCTATCACAAATTCGTCTCTTTCAGTAACTCTCAAGTAGATATGATACATGCAAGATTCCTGTGATATGGTATGTTTGTAGTTTGAGAAGTGGTGGTGTCTCACAATGACATTTCTGTATGGGCCCTCCATAAGTTTTAAACTAAAGAATTTGTTTGTGAATTTTCAGTGTATTTGCATTTGTATTATATGATATTTTAATTTTGGTGAAGATATTCTTTATTGGTAATAGTAGTGGGTTTGTTTGTGGGGGTTTTTGCTGTTGTTGTTTTTTGGGGGGGTGGGGCTGTTTTTTTGTTGTTTTTGTTCTATTTTTGTTTTAACTGCTTCCTTTTTAATAAGTATCTTAATCTGCTTGTATACAGAGTTCTTTGTGTCTTAGATTATGTAACTCTGGCTGGCTGGATGTGGGCATATTTTGTGTGGAGTTGGAAACTGTTTCATGACTGCCAGAATACCACTTCATTCTGGTTGGTTTGTCATCTCATTAAACTTCTGTTTTTACCTCTCCTTCTTTCCTGTTCCTTTGACCCCTGGCCTTTTACACCCTGTCATTCTCCTCTGATTGTGACTGGGCAGCTCTGCTTACTGAGGAGGTCAAGGGGCAGGGTGTCAGGAGTCAGGGTGTCAGAAGGTGAGCATGCTATTTGATGAGTCAAATACGATTCTGCAGAGAGAATTTTCCAGAAAGGAAAGTTTCACCTTCCTGCTGTGCCCCCAAGAGGAATGGAGATGTGTGGTCGGGTAATAATTTGCTTTTTGAATAATGATCCTTATAATTGTAGTTTCTCCACCTTTTTCATGCAGCAGACTGTTAGAAAGCTGTTAACTTTAGAACTACATCCTGTCCATTGGCAACTTAATATGCAAAACTTGAAATTTTTTTAATAGTTTCATCCTACTATGATGGTAATAGGTCAAAGTTACCTGGTAGTGATGATAAGAGCAAAGGAATAGGTCCTAAAGAGTTCCTTTTGACATTAAGTAAAAAAGGTTTGAAAAAGACAGTGTAAGATACTAAACATCATCTGTAGTTTGTACTGTATTATTTGTGAAAAAGGAAAATGATTGATAAAATTTTTTACTTGTTCTGTGTTCTTGATTATTCCATCAACTTGTTTTTTTCTTGAAGATGTACTGAATTGTTATGAATGAGTTGGACTTCATAAGTTGAGTGATACTACTCAAATAATTGGGAACATTTTTGGTAATAATTAAGTAGGAAATGAGTAGCTGCTGGTTTTACTTCTCGAGTTTCACCTAGTCATCTGGCTTGCTTTTTTTCTTTACTTCCGTTTTAAAACTTTTTAATGTGCAAGAGATCCACATATGTGCTCTAAATAAAATTTTCAGAACAAAAAAAGTCCACTCACAGGGCTTAATTTTTAATTTGGAAACAGTTCATAATTTTAAGTGTGGGGACTGTGTAATACAGCAGAGCAGTTGTGCTTGTTTTCCAGTGTGGACAGCCTTAGGGTGTACTTCCATGGGAACTGTCAAATTACTTCTCTTTAGATGGCTAATAGTGGAGATTTGGAACTGAAGGGAATCTTGAATAGCAGTGTAGGTTGTGGTTGATTTAGTTTTGCTTAGAGATTTTGTCAATTTTAATTTTTTTTTTTTTAATTTTATTTTCCATTACAAACAACTAGGTCAAGGAAAGAGTCACTGGGGTTTGTGAGGCAATTGCATGTGCAGAATGTGACATTCAAACAGTGTTTGTAAATCTGAGCAAGGAGTAGACATATTGGAGGATTCTCTAGGTTTCTTTGAGAAATTTAAAAAATTTACAGGCTTTGAGGGTGGATAATGGGAGTTCAAAGTTCAGACCTGTGATTATAGAACTGGTCTAAAATAGGACTGTGTTGTCACTTGTCATGGCTACTGTACAAAAAGCTGTCTTCCACAGTTCTAATAAGAAACCAGATATTTTACGTAAATATTTTGAACTTTGTTGCATATATGCTAATTTATATCCTGTTCAATTGTAAGTCTAATGTGTACCTGTTTATCTGGAAGGTTATTAATAATTGAAAGCTTATGGGAATAGACAAGCGATAGACAAGTTATTGACAATGATCATCTTTTTAAAGGACAGTTGACATGAATGCAAGTTGAAAACGGCAATTCTGTATTATGGGAGTTGCCTAAAGAGCAAAACTGGTTAGACATATGTAAGTGCTACTTTGTGCAGCTCAGCTGTCTTTGAAACTCTCTGTTTTCAGGCCATTTGATGATAGATATTCATAGATGCTCATGTTCATCTTTCCTGTTTGCTTTGCTGTCCTTGATAAGGTGTTATTGGAAAGCATGTTGCTGTTCGTCATACCTTTGTTTCTGTGCGCCATACTGGAATACGTCCAGTAAATCAGAGCTTTCTTGCCCACTATGAGTTGTGCTTCTGCTTCTGGGCTTTTCAGCGGTGCTGTCTTGCACTCTTTCCACCACGCAATGTTGCCTGCTGCTTTCTGAGACTGTAAATCAGCTAGCTAGGATAACAGTTGTAAACTTGGGTCTAGATGTGGCTATGAAAATACAACATTTTTGAAGTCTTGAGAAAGACCCAAAAACTGACTCTACTTACATTTACCAAAAAGGTATGAGAAAATATATTTCTGAAACTTACTCTTTCTTGACTTTCCTTAAATTTCCAAATGTTGATAGATTGCTGTCTCAAATTCTGCTCTAAAAAAATCCCCATGATGTTTAACAATTTTTTTGTTTGCACTCTTCTTAATGGGGAATAGAGTAGATGGAAAGAAAATAGAGCACAGTCTGAACTTTCTAATCCTGCAAAATGCTCAGATCAGTAGCTGGTCACCAGTATTGGCATAACTGTAGGAGGATGTAGTATTTTTCTTCAATAATAATTATGTCCATAATGAATTAGGCAATAGCCATACATTTCAAGAACTACTGAGTCACTTCTGTGCAGTGTTATCTTAAGGTGATATTTCGGTTGGTTGCTTGTTTCTTGTTAGGTTGTAAATTCACTGCAGCAACAGACACAAGCTACATCTCCTCCAGTTCCTGAACCTCACACGCTCACTACTGTGGCTCAAGCAGATCCTCTTGTTAGAAGACAGCGAGTACAGGACCTTATGGCACAGATGCAGGGCCCATATAACTTCATGCAGGTATGATGAACCCACCCTTACTGTGAAGCTAAACTCAAAGAAACAAAATACCACTTTCTGGCTTTTAGTTACAATTTAAGGAGTCTGCTGTAATTTATTTGAAAACTACAGTGGTCTTTCAAACTCTACAGTGCTGTATGACAAGATTTTATCCAAAGCCTGCAAACTTGTATTTCCATCAAAGTATAATTAGAATGTTACTTAGCTTTTTGGTCCTTGTTTGTGCTAAATTTACAGGTAAGTCAGAAAATTGTGCATCATTGGGTTCCGTAGAGTATTCTGCTTAAGTGAGACTGGCTGTAAAATAGCCCTTCTATAAGCTAGTTCTAAATTTTTTGTTACGAATATCTTCCACAGCACATGAAGAGAATACTTTTTGGGTTGCTTCTTGAAGGTTCTCTTTTAACCTCTAAAGTTAGAACAACTGAAAAGCATTGGGAGATAAGGGAATACATTAGAAAAAGCCTTGCCTCCTCCTTTACAAAGAAAGAGTAGACACCTTGGTAACAAAAGAGGCCTACACTTCTTATGTTCCCTTTTTTGTTTCTTCCTACAAAGTGCTAATTTCAGAGAAAGAATAGAGAATAGTTCACTGCCTATTCTATCTTGCTATTAAAATGTCCCTCTAGTTACCTTTTTGTCAGATAAGCTCAAATTTGTGTACATGAACTGAATTTTTATTGTGTTAAATACATGTTTGGAATTTTTATTATCTTAATTGATTTTCTGGTTTTACCATACCTTTAATTATGTCGCTGTGGACTAAGCTTCCTTTATTGTGACCTGGTCACCTATGTATTCTGAATGGTAATATTTTTAAAATACAGTAAATCGGATTTGATTTTATTTTTTTTTAATGTTTTTTCCCAGGACTCTATGCTGGAGTTTGAGAACCAAACACTTGATCCTGCCATAGTATCTGCACAGCCTATGAATCCAGCACAGAATCTGGACATGCCACAAATGGTTTGCCCTCCAGGTTTGTAATGGTAAATCCTAAACATAAATATTGGGGAAGCCTGCAAATCATCTATTAGAAATGCTTCAGTTACTGCTGCATAGTAAAAGGGTCATCACAATTAATAATACAGTACTGCTAAAGTGTGTTCTTCTCAGAAATGTGGTTGTACTTTTGAGGCATACTATTTGTAGACTTCCAATTCTCACTTGCTTCTAGGTTTTGCTTGGAAATGTGGAACATAAATGAACAAAACATAGTTTTGCTTAGTCTTTTGGAAATTGTTGGTTTATTTTGGACAACTGGAAAAAATGTACTTTGCATGGAAATGGTAATTGGTATTTTGAGTATAGCTTTACCATGCCAAAGGGGTAGTCATGTTTATGATGATCAGCTCTCACCTGAATTTGATAAGATGGTAACGCTATTCTGTAAAAGGTTTGATTGTACAATGTAATAAGTGAGATTATTTTACTTCAGTTCATGCTGAGTCAAGACTTGCCCAGCCTAATCAAGTTCCTGTGCAACCAGAAGCTACACAGGTAAAATGTTTAGCAAATTGTATTTTGGATTTTAAATTGATTTCAGGATTGATTGATTTTATAATAGGATTTAATTCCTAACTATATGAGAAGCTCAAAGAAAAAAACAAATTCCCCAAATCAAAACTTCAGCTATCTCCACTGTCCCTTCAGCATTGTCACTTATAATCGCTACTATATACAGTTTTTATGCTATGCAGACATTGTATATTTTCTGTAATGGAATCTTACCAGGCATTATCCTGCTTGGAAAACTGTTGCCTTCAAGGTTGAAGTAGGAGTTTATTAAGGAAACTGCATTTCTAATTAGAGGCCCCTTAAACTGAAGGGCACAAGCACGGAAGCAGTTGCAGTTTGTGCTGCTCATTCTAACAGCCCAGTGTGGACTTCTCAGCAGTTAGCGGCTCTTTCAATCTGTGGAGCTTATCTTGGTCTTCAAATTTGGTGTGTGGATGTAATTTTCATTCCATGAATTGACTTCCACGTGCCTGTGTGTTAGGTTGCTACCACTTAAAATCTGTATTCCATGTGACAGTGAATAGTGTTTTTTTATGATTGAAAGGAAAGACACTGGAATGCTGCTCTGTGTAGTCCTACTCTAACAGTTTAACTTGAGGTTTCTTTGTGCATTCTGTTCAAGATGGACAATCTTTGCCTAGTAGTGTTCTCTTCCATGTTAAGCCATGTGTAGTAATATTTTTAAATTCAATTGAAGCAAGTTGTCCTTTATTTGCTTATTTGGGACAGAAATGCCAAAACCAAAATAGCTTGGGTAAAGGTTAGTCTGTATCTGTTCAAGTGGGCATCAGACCACAAATAGATTTAATGGACTAACTCTATAGTTTGTGTTCCCTTTTTTCACTTGTTCTGCTAAGGATTAGTCCCAGATGCTTGCTTGGATAGTATTTTAATGCTAGAGTTGTAGAGCAGTCAGAATGATTTTGAATGCTGTTTTTGGTTGAGATTTCCCAAAATTTCTGTTTTAAGTAGGATCTCTTAAACTTGCTTCTGCAGTGTATAAATGATGTATTCACCTTTTCATTGAGATGTGTCAGTTACTGAATTGTCTAGTCATTAAAGAACTTCCTGATACTGTATCAAGCATGTGTGGCACCTCTGAAGGACTCTACTGGTCTCAAGTAATGAATCTGATCCCTGTAGGTATTTGAAAACCAAAAGAAAAATCTGGGTAGATTGTGTATCTCAGAGTAATAGTAGCATAAATTGCTTGCTTTGTCTTGCCCAGATTAGATCTGCAAGTTTGAAGTCACTCATTTGTATAGAAACAGGAACGTGGGGTGGTTTTTCTTGAATTTCCTCTATATATACCTGCTGAAGTGCTAGTACTCTCAGCAGTTTTGTAGGTGTAGAATCATTTTGGCCGAGAGTTCTTGCTCTACTAGCTTTTATTTTACTGTTAAATTATGTCTGATATACTCCAGTGGATTTTTTTCTTATTTTCCTCAACCAGTGCCAGTGATTTCTCTTGGGGATCTTGCAAGCAGTAACTAAACTTATATCTATCCTTTTGAATGTTCAACGAGATGATGTGAACACACCCATCAGTCGCTATCAGTTGCCTCTTAAAGTTTCCAGTAGCCTTAAATGCAGAGTTCTCTGCTTTGCTGGCTAGAGTTTTCACTGGACTCTGTGTAGGGGAGCAGAGGCTGTAAAGTGGGCAAATTCAGTCTGTTGGAAACTTAGCGCTTCTCCATTTCTTGTATGAGTTTGGAGTTCTGTCATTTAAACTTCCATCTATTCCTCCCTCACTCCATCTGTCTTTTCCCAGCTTTATTGTTGTGGTAGTTGGGGTTGTGTAAGGAAATGAAGAGACGGATGTTCTTCAGTAAAAGCAAATACATGTCCAGCTGATTGGGAAATATCCACAGAATACAGTCTGGCAGGGTGTGGGTGGTGTGACATGTTAGAATTATACATCAAGATGAGGTGGTCAAACATCTGCTTGTTAAAAAGAACTTAATTTTTGATGATTGTACAGATTTGCTGGAATGCATACTTTTATGAGAGACCACCATTCATTCCAGAGTTCTCTGATACTTTTTATAAAACTGTGTGTGAGCATCAGCTGACTTTTGAGGGCTTTGGGGTTTATTTTGTCAGGTTCCTTTGGTTTCTTCTACAAGTGAGGGATATACAGCCTCCCAACCCATGTATCAGCCTTCTCACACAACAGAACAACGGCCACAGAAAGAATCGATTGACCAGATTCAGGCAAGTCAGACTTCACAGGGGTGGGAAGAAGTCTGGTTGCAGGTGTGATCAAATGTTAGTCTGTGTTTCTTTGTAAGTAAAGTTTTGTGATTTTAGTTACCTATTGATAGGGCTGCTTCAGTTCTGCTTAATTTCAAAAGTTTGAGCCTGTCTGTGGCCAGTAAATCCTTTATGGTAAGACTTTTAATTTACAATATTGTTTAGTTAGAAATGACATACCAGCATCAGCATATGAGCATTAGTGGTGTTGGTGTAGGAAATGAGAATAATTTTTTTTTTTAACAACAGTTACCCCAGAAACCTGTTCATTTCCCCCTCTAGTTTTTTCTAGTTGTGTTTCAAGTTAACAAGGCAGAAGACTGCTAGGTTTTTCCTCTCCCATTATGCTGTTGTGAATGAGGCTGTTCAGCTGAAGTAGAAAATACTTGTTAAGGTGAACCTGAGGCATTGTTACTTTTTTTTAAGCGAAGTTTTTAAGTTAAATTTTTGGTGTTATTCACAAGCTGCTAAAATGTTTGTTTTAATTACTAGGCTTCAATGTCACTGAATGCAGACCAGACCCCATCATCATCATCACTTCCCACTGCATCCCAGCCGCAGGTGTTCCAGGCTGGATCTAGCAAGCCTTTGCATAGCAGCGGAATCAATGTTAATGCAGCTCCATTCCAATCCATGCAAACAGTAAGTAGTAAATTAATAGTGAATCCCTTTATTTTGTTAGTCATTCCTTTTGTTGTTACACAAACACTGGAATCAGTCCTGTAATTACATAAAATAGTCTTTGGTTATCCATGCTTCTCAGACTTGCATACTTCTTTGCATGATGCAATGAAGAGCTGTAAAAAACTAATTGGACCAGAGAGCTATTTTTCTATTATTACAGGTATTCAACATGAATGCGCCTGTTCCTCCTGTTAATGAGCCAGAAACCCTTAAGCAGCAAAATCAGTACCAGGCCAGTTACAACCAGAGTTTCTCCAATCAGCCTCACCAAGTAGAACAATCAGATCTTCAGCAAGAACAACTCCAGACAGGTAAACTTATTTCAGCAAAAACTAAAACCACGGTAGCATCTGTAGAGCAGATGATCAGGCTGAAGTCCTGGGTAGTGTAGCAAAGCTTGTCACACATTCTCAGATGTTTCACTCTTGTGAAGGTTTCCTGTGAACCATACTGGTTTTTGTTATTCTGTCTTGTTTGACTATCCAAGAGGGGGTGACATTCAGTATATATATCTCCAACTGTTAAAAGAATTATGCCTCTTGATTCAGTTTTTTATGGGTTTTAAGAAAACATGAACAGGATTAGGGATTATTCTAAAGATGAAAGCAATATAGTGGAGTACTTGCTCTGCTGATGTTAAGGTTGGATTATTCTTAAATTTGCTTTAAAAAAAAGGTTATGCTATTTGAGATGATATTTTAAAACAGAAATAGCTAGAATTGAGAGCAAATATTGGACTGCTCACAGATGATGTAAGCTTCACAAAGGTCTAGAATCTTGCTAAAATCAGTTAGATGTGGTTTGAATATAGCAGGCAAAATGCTTTCCAAGTTAGCAACTTCAAAAAAACAAATGAACAGTAAAATAGTCAGGATAAAGCTATTTGTCTCCCAGCACCCTCCTCGCCTTCCACTGAGATAAAATTTACAGATGCAGAGAGGGATTTTGAGTGAAGGACACAGGACAGAGATGACATGGGTGAAGTGCTAACAACTACTGCATGTGGAGTAAGGAAAAAGAGCCTGATCTTTTTTCTTTATAACTGATTATGATCTTGAAATTTGTCTTCCTTACAAGTTAGGATACTGGGTGAGTGGATGAGACGAGGGTGAACCAAGTTTTCCGTGTTTATCTTATATGGTTTTTGAGCTATACACAGCACAAGGCAGAAAGACAGACTGAGGAATGCAAGTTGGGGAGAAGGGAGGATCTGTACAAAAGTTCCATAGCACTCTGGCTGAGTGAAGTAGACACAAAGTTGTGCTCCTGCATACGAGAGGGACTTGCCACTTACGAATTTTCTTTGGGATCTTGCTTCAGCATTTGGTATCAGCCTGGCTGTTACAGTTGTTTTGATCTTACAGACAGAATTCCATCTTTTATTACTATTACTGAGCCTATAACACATACATGTCTTGTGGAAAGAATCCCCCAGTCTGTACAGTCAAACGTCAGCTCTGTTAAAATGTTCCCATCGCTCTCACTGTAGTCAGCACAGCTACACCTCACAGAGCTTAGTTCGTGAAGGCAGTGGCTCTCTGTCAGTTCAGAGGGGAGGAAGTTGCAGAAGTAGGTTACCTTTTTTTTTTTTTTCTCTAGAGTGTGTGTTGCTGATTTTTAAAGGGTTTCAAATAGCACAGGAAAACTGTGCTTGCGTTAGGAATACTTGTTGCTGAGCTTACCCTAGAGACTTCTTGACACTAACTTAAAGCAACTCTCTACCATTTCTGGGTTGTTTTAATATTGTGGGATAGCTGACTAGTGAACTTGATACTTAATTCTGCAGATTATTTTTCTTTGAATGGGTGAGTGTTTATTGATTCATTCAGTGATACTTCAAAGCTCTGAATGTTGAGTTTGAAGAGAGGATATGTGGGTATATAAATAAATGCAGACTTTTATACTTCATTTTTTTTCCCCCATTTCCAATATAGTGGTTGGTACTTACCATGGTTCCCCAGACCAGACTCATCAAGTGGCAGGTAACCACCAGCAACCTCCCCAGCAGAATACTGGATTTCCACGTAACAGTCAGCCTTATTATAACAGTCGAGGAGTCTCTCGTGGTGGATCACGTGGGGCTCGTGGCTTAATGAACGGTTACAGGGGACCGGCAAATGGATTTAGAGGTAAACAGCTTTATTAAACTCTCTCATTTGACGACTTCTTTCTGGAAGCACACCATCAAGATACCAAGTGTTAAACTGACCTACTGTTGTTTTCATACTGTAGTAGTATCTCTAAGATATTTAAACTTGTACTAAAAATTTCATTTGCTTTAGCTAACTTCAGCAACTTAAATTTTTAGTCATTTGGTTTGGCTTTCTACTAGAGTCTAAATAAAGAAGCATTTTTTTAGTGCTAGTTTGATTAAGCATCTCCTGCAAGTATAAGCAAACATGGAAATATCCAACAGAATTTCACTATCACCAAGTGAGGAATTCAGATACCAATATTTCAAAAGTGTTTTTTATTTCCAGTTATGGTAGAAGCAGTATATTTTATAGTTCCGTGTTTCATCATATTGAGGATAGTCTGGATAATGTAGAAATACAAGAACAAAAAAGTCTAAAAGTCATTACTCTGAGGAAATTAACAGGAGTGGAGGAATCATACTGTAGTTCTGGGATAAAAGAACTTTCATGCTTCTTGGAGATTATTATATGTGGCTGTTGATGTCACAAAGATTTGTATGTTAGAATGGGAGAGGTGGTTTCCTTGGCAGGTGTTCTGGTAGTAGACTTATGGATGCAGTACTGTCTGGTTTTGCCGTGTTCTCTTACTCTCATGTAGTTGGAAGGCAGAGGAGAAACCTGTATAATAAAGATAGAACTGATTGTAGTAGGGAATGAGTGGTCACTGTCTCTCTGCTTAAAATTGATCTAGATTCCAAGTGTTAGACCCTTGAGACTGAAACCATCCTTGGGCATGGTTCCCAGCACTCAGAAGAGTCTGGACTCAGGAGCAGCTTCTTGCTTGAGTTGAGTTGGCTGTTGTGGCCTTGCAGGTCACAGCTGTTACATTTGGATCCCAGTATTGTATTTAGCTCTGGATTGAATGTTACATAAATCAAACCTCAAATTACTAGAGACCTGCGTTGAATTGTTATCTCTTCCCAGTTCTTACTAGGTCTTGTTTTTTGTAATACTGTTAGCACTGATGTTGCAAACATTTGCTTGACTTGCAGGTAAACAGTACTTACTAAAGGGTTCCTCAGGTTTAGGTAAAATGCTGTTCCTGCGTTTCTTCATACGGTAGCATAAAGTAATAGGTTATGATTTCAAAGTGACAGACTTGTGCCCTGTTCCTTAGGAGGATATGATGGCTACCGTCCTTCCTTTTCCAACACTCCAAACAGTGGTTACACGCAGCCCCAGTTTAATGCTCCTCGCGATTATTCAAACTACCAGCGGGTAAGACACCATTATGTTCTGACAGTCTAGTAGTGTAGAAGAAAGTAGCTGTCAATGAAAGCACTTTATTAGTGAAAACTTTTCTGAGGACTTCAATGAAGACAGAAATTTTGGGTGCTAAACAGATGTTTAGAAATGGCAGAATATTTATATGGCTGTTTATAATTGGGAAACACGTTCTGTCTGCTCTCTGAAGGAGTTAGTCGAGTAACTAGAACAAGGTTGGGTGAATTATAAAAAACTCTTAGATACAATTGCTTTCACAGCTTTGTGGAAAAGAAACTTAAAGAATCCATCGAAGTTAACATTTTCAACTTGTTTGAAATTGCCTGTCTTCTGCAATGTTGATACGTTACTCTGAAATTTGTGCAGAATTTTGTTGTTCTGAAGGAAGCGTGCTCAGTTTGCTAAAAGCTTATAACGACTGGAAAATGTCTAATTGCATGGCCCTCAACAAGTATTTATAAGCAAATGAGATGACAGATTTTGATCCTGCCATTAGAACGTTGCTTCGTTTATTGACCGAGTCCTTCAGCAAATTCATGTTTGACCTCTGTGTAGCTTGAAAAATTGGAACAGTAACGATAGCTACTTACATTTCTTTTCTATATTGAACAACTTATCCTGTAACTGAAGAGAGAATTTATATTTGTATGTTCATTATTCCTGCCAGATACCAGTAGGAATATGAATTTATTTTTCTAAAACTAAATGAATAAAATACTTTATGTTGAAATCATGGATGTTAGTCAGTGCATATTGTTTTAAAAGTTCCTTATTTTATTGGTAATTAATAGCTTCCTGAAATATAACAAAATGCCCGGGTTTTATGTTGTAATTTTTGAAATTTCTTTGCTTCAGGATGGATATCAACAGAATTTCAAACGTGGCTCTGGACAAAGTGGACCTCGGGGAGCTCCTAGAGGTAATTCTTGAGTAGTGAATAATTGATTTGGGCTGAACGGAAGTTTTCAATCCAACTTCTGGGGTTTTGGATTTAAAAAGCAACGTCACTGCTTATTCAGCAGGTCACAATTGAAGAATAAGCTTACTTTCCTCTGACTTCATAGTTGATCTTGCTTTTGAACAGGGGTTGGACTTGGACCTCTTGAGGTCCGTTCTGACTTGAATTCCACTGTGTTACTTTGAATTTGCGGTGGAAGTTTAGTTGGCTGTTGAATGAGGAATTATTTGAAAAGGAGTTCAAACAACAGCTGCTTTTGAGCTTTAAATGTAGCAGCACTACTTAGTTGCCTTTTATTAATGAAAGCCTTAGGAAAGTGATACCTTTTTTTTTTTTTGTGAGGCTTATCATGACTTAAGATCTGCTTACTTGGTGCATTAGTAGTTGGCAAGTAAGAGTTGCTCATAAAGCAGATGCAGGGCCTGAGCTGACTGTCAGCCTTCAAAATTGTATGTTACTGTGTTGCACTAAAAGATGTTCTCCTGCATCTGTTGTGGAGCTCTCTTTTGATCTAAGGATACAAAATTTCACTCCATTCTCATCTGTTCCTTGATCCTATAGAATTGTTGCTTTTGATTTAGAGATGTCTTGTCCTGTAGCTTTAGAAGAGTGTTTAGCAGGTGTTCATCTGAGACAGCAAAACAGAAGACCCCACTTACATAATTTAGTTGAACTTCTAAATTTTATTGTCAACACAATTTCCACAGTTTGGGGTTTTTTTAGTAGATTTTTGGTGATGTCTTGTGTCCCAATACAGAAGTTTTCATGAGAATCTTGAGTTATACTGAGTCAGCTATCAGTGAGGACAGCTCAAGGCTGTACATTGCACTGTCTGTAAAAGTGCAGTTCTGTGTGGTAGTTTGGTTTCGAAGAGTTCTGTCCCTGACTGTCTTGGTACTGAAAGCCCTATAGTGTGGAACTGTAGCTTGAAGTTCAACATTGTATTATGCTATGGTGAAGCTTGAGAGCCTATTTGAGAAAGCAGAACTATAATGAAGGAAAGTTTTGAGCTTTGTTGTCAAGGATGTGCAGGCAAACATGAGAGGAATTCCCCAAGTGACATACAATTCTCATAGAGTGTGAGCTACAGGCAGTCTCTTTCTGAAGGAAGGAAGAAAATGTATGTTAAAATATGGTTAGTTAGCTCACAGTACTTCTATTTAAAATACAGTAGCCAATTATTGCCTTACATTACTGCAGAACTTTACTTGAAGAGATTACAACTTTGTAGTTCTGGAGAAAAAAGTATTGGGATAAAGCTGAAAAGTGTAAAGACAGATTACTGTTTTGACTTGAAGGAGCTTTTAGAACCATATATAGTCTAGACATACACCTGGGTATTACCCAGTTTAGACCAGAGTTTTTAGGAATATTTTTTAAATAACCTGTTTTCATGCATAACTCAAGAGCCTTTTTATATGTTTTCTAGGTCGTGGAGGGCCTCCAAGACCAAACAGAGGGATGCCTCAAATGAATGCTCAGCAAGTGAATTAAACGAATTCACAGGATTACATTAAACGCCAAAAACACACTGGCCGGTGTACTATACATGTTACCAGAAGAGTTATTATCTATTTGTTCTCCCTTACAGGAAGTTTGTTGTAAAGGGACTATTTTCATTACCATAATGACAGGACTACAGTTGCCAGCTTTATATTACCTGGATATTGAAAGGAACGAAACAACGTTTACTCTGCATGTTCTGTCCTAAGCATCATCTTGAGCCTTGCACATGAGATTCAGATTCTTCACCCTTGCTAAGAATAAAGCAAAAAAGGCAATTTTCAGGGTGATCCGGTCTCCATGGTTAACTGAAGTGGCAGGAAAAAGCAAAGACTCACTTCTGACATTTAAAAGCAATGTAACAAATTTTGTTAAAACCTGCAAATTCGTAAAGATTTACTGCAGTGGCAGTTGACAAAACTTAATGTTCCCATTAAAGGATGGAAAAGGTCAAGTGTGGCTTGGTAGAGAAACTGCATTTCAGCTTTTTCTAACTAAATTGAAGCACTGAACAGTTAAAGATGGGTAGTGATACATATTTCCCTAAATAGACAAATAGGTTTATAGCCAGTTTTTGACAAAGAAGCAGCACCCTTAGCTGCAGCACTCCTCATCACGAGGGCCCCGTTTACTGTGGCTAAGGATTTAAGATCGCTTGCATAACTGCTAATGTAATTGTGTAATTTTTTTTTTTATTATTATTAAAAAAGCTTTGATTTGGCACTTGAACAAAATTTTGCAACAAATGTGAGATATAATCTGGATGGCCACTGTATATTTGATGTGAAGTATTTAGGTATCTCTTTGAAACACTTAAGTTTCTTTGATAGCAATGACTTTTGTAAGGATTGGTATTCTCTATCATTCCTTATGACTTGCACATTGTCTGTCACTAATACTTGACCTTGCTGTATTATCGCCTAAATAACTGATGCCGGTACTGATGGAAATCTCTAATGGATAATCATAACACTTTTGGTCACATGTCCTTTTGTCTTTCCTGCAGCCTTGAAGGTTTTAAGAAATCTCAAATGCCCGCTGCTGCTGCCCTTTTAATTGCTATCTTTTGAAAAGCACCAGTATGTGTTTGAATTGATTTCCCCTTTTAAGGGAAATGACAGCCAGCAGTTACAGTTCTAATGGTATAAGCAAGACAAATAAAACATGTTTATAAAAATTGTATCCTGGAACACTGGTTTTCAACGACTGAACCAAATTTCATGTGATGGGGTGATATTTCATAAGGTTTTGTTGAGTGTTTTTTTTTTTTTTTTTTTTCCCTGATAGATTCCCTTTTTCCTGAACAGATGTAAATCCTCCTGTTTTTTCTGGTTTTATTCTGATAGCCGTGACGTCTGGGAAACTTTTCTTTTTATGGACTTACCTTTACATCAAGGCAGCAATGTATAAAAGAAATGGCATAAGACTAGGAGGTGGAAAATACCAAGTCTTATTCAAGTTTTACTGCATACTTGTGGTATAATCTTTGGAAAATCACTTGTGCCTACCTTTTGCGCACATGCACTCTCTCTGCAGTGGGGAGAATTTATTGATAGCTGCCTCCATAGAGGTGTTGGTAGTTCTGTTGCATTCTATAGCACGTGCAAGAAGAAAAGTGCTATATATGTTAAGTATTGCTTATCAAATAATTCCTACCTGTGGAAAGGTGAAATTAAGGAACAGCTACATGTTGTTTAACTGTTACGTACAAAACTGAAGGTTGTTTTCACTCACAGGGTCATTTCTACTTTGTATCACAACTGAACTTTCCGAACTTGTAGTCAGATATTTTTACTTCATTGTGAAATAATCTGAAACTCCATAGATACAGGTGGTAATATCACTTCTCCATGTTCTGTGTGAAGAGCACAAATGAGAAATGTTTTTACTGAGAAAAGTGATAGCTTGTGAAGACAATATTACATACCAGACATCTTGAAACGATGCTGGTGGCTAGAAGCAGCAGTTTTAGTCAAGGCCTAGAAACATTCCATACCAGTGTAACAATATAAACTGCAGTCCGGTGAGAAGTTGCTGTTCTGTGTCTTTTTTAGGAAGCTGTTACTGAGATAATAGTCCCAACTGTTTTTTAACTGGAAAAAAATAAAAAGACACCTTCTAATGTTGAACTGATATAGGAAAACAGTGAATTCTTTCTTAAAGATATTTTATTTTTTGTGCATCAGCTTTTTAAATGGTTGGTAGAACACAAGCTATTCAGCTTTTTCCATTGCACACCAAATGCTTTTTAAATAGCTATTTGTAGTTTGACAGTAAACTTGCAGCATACCAAATTAAAGACCGCTGAATAGATCAGAACATTCCACTTAAAGTTTGGGGGTTTGGTTTTGGTTTTTTTTTTTTTTTTCCAACTTAAATTTATAAAACATTGAGTAGTTAAGAGGCCTCTTCATTTAGATACAACTTTGTAAGCCTTTTCATGTATGAAAATGGTCTTTAGAGTAGCTGCTCTACTGTATGCTATAGAGGGAGATGTGTTATAATAACAACCGTAAAGCAAGTACATAAGATGTTTAATCTGGGAATTTGCACTGACTCTTTTAATCTCAATACATGCGCCTAATAAACAGTATACTGAAAAATTTGCTTGCGTCACAGTATGGCAAATAGATCCATTAACTGGTTTTCTGGCCTGTTCAGAGGAGCTTTTAAGTATCTTCATAACTTAGTTCTGGAGCGGAGTTATATCCAGATCACAAGCACTCCTAGATAGTTTTCTTTTGAAAAAGATAATCTTTTGAACAAAGACCATTATAAGAAGTGATCATATTGAGACAAAACTGGCAGGCAGTTCGGGGCTGATGCTGGGGCGAGCTGTGTTTGTTCCAGTTTGGTGCTGCTGTAGGGTAACTCAGGCCTGATGCCGGTGGTTGGGAAGCATGAGCAAACATAACAGTGCTACTTCTGAGCCTGTGTGTAGATGCGTTAGTTGCAGTCGGTGGTGGTTTTACTCATTTCTTTTGTGAAGCGGGCTTTGGGGAACATAACAGACTAGTTAAGGCTGCCTTCTTGCATATAAAGCTACTATGAGGAGATACAGATTTTTATTCTGTCAGGGGCTTCATTATCTAAGATTGCTAGGCTGTGATAACATATAGTGATAAATGTTAGAGAACAAACTTCTAGCTTCAGTGTCTTATTTCCTCTTGGCTGTAATGTATGAATTCTTGAGAACATAATTCATAAATCACTAGAGTTTCCAGTGTTTCTACCTAACGTTACTGTGTCTGGGAAACTTGGATCCTTCCTAGATGTCCTACAACTTAAACATTTTAACTTGAAAATCATAAGCTGTTGTCTTATACTTAAGGTCACTTTTGTCCTACATTTTACTTCTGTGTTCTCCCAGTACACAGGCTGTCTTTAAGAACAGTTCACCAATACAACTTCCGGATTTTTCTGTGAAGGGAGTTCTAGACTTCACCCCTATTTTCTTTCCATGATACTGTCTTTTGTGTATGGCAATCTCTAAAGCATTACATCATTCAGAGTAGTTGGAAAAGTATTGTTGACTTCTTGTTAATAGCCAGTTAATGTATTCTGCTGGGACTTTATAACTGTCAGAGAACTCTGTGACCTTAAAAATGTGTCTTCTCAGAATGTCCTGCTGATCTTATTTGTTAGACAGGCAGATTTTTGGATTGGATTACAGGTTACCTTCATACGTGTCTGGAGAATGGATTGAGCTTCTTTCTTTCCCCCAAATGGCATTTGGGTAACTACTTTGGAGAGAGAAAAGTTACTGAAAAGGCTTTAACTCTAGACAAATATTGAAAAGTTGATAAATGATACCGAATTCATACAGTTAAAAGCAAATGGGGCAAAACCCTTGTGGTCCAGCAGAATATGATACAAAACCAACTGGTCAGAAAAGCCTTGACCCTCATATTTGTTTTTTGAAGTTCTGGCATTGCCTAAGATGAGTAGTTTGACTTTTCTTACCTCTTCTTTGCAAGAACCATTCATTATAAATGCACATATGTGATACAAGTGTGTGACTGTGATACAAGTGTTGAGTAGACAAAATCATGCTGTATTCTTCAGTTTTCTCCCATCCCAAGTCTCCCGTGGATATAAAGGGACATGAGAACGCAGCTCATTAACAAGCCCCATTAATGAGGCTGCCCATCACATCTTGAAAAATAAAGATCATCCCTCTTGCTAATGTGAAACTGTTCTTGATTAACATGTATGCAAAGTATCGAAACAGACACTTGAAGATACAAATTTATAGCTGGAGTGGAGGTTTGTGACTCTGTGAAGTAGACTGTGTATTTTAGTCTTTAAAATCTATGCACCTGTTTTTGCGCTATTGCATCTGCATTGAATATGGATGGCACTAGAGTTTTTAAATGCTTAAGCTGGCACCAACAGAATTCTGCAAGTGGGGTGGGTAGGTGTTCTTCACCACTGATTGACCTAAAAAATCGGTGCCTCATCTGAAGAGCAAATAGGGAATGGTCCTGAACAATAAAACTTCCCTTTTGAACTTAGATTATTTCTGTAGTTAAATCCATGCTTAAATACATATAGTTCTGATTATTGTCTGGAACTGTACTGGAAACTCAAACTTTGCACAATTGTGTAGTTTCCTTCTAATTCTGGTTTTCTCTAAATGACAACATTTGTTAAAATTTCTTTGTTCAATCACAACATCAGCATCTGAACATTTGATTGGTGTCATACTAATCTTGCCTTGGTAGCAGAATTTAACAGGAGCTTTGACATGGACTTTGGGAAAATTCCCTTATTTAACATCAGATTAGCATACCTGATAGTCATAAAGAAGGCTAATAGCTTAAACTAGAGTATGTTTTTGTTTGGCCTATGTGGTTTTCCAGAGGGAGGGAGATGGGGGAAGTCCTTCCTGTTTAGTAAATGCTGCTTGCTTTTAAATTCAAATGTTTTTCATCCCAGTCAGTAAATTTTCTGAGAGGAAAGGTTCCATGTTTTTGAGAAGCACTGCACCTGGCTGCTTAGGGTTTGAGGCTGCATTCAAATCATCTAATGTCAAATGGAAAGAAAACATCTACGCTCTAGTAGATTGTTAAAGAAACTTAATGTCTCTTCCTCTGTGTGGAAGCAAGCCTCTGACCCTCACACTCCTACAAAAACAAAAGCAGCATCTTGGATTTCTGCTCGTATTCCTACAGGGTTTCAGAAACTGGATGTTGCTGAATTTTTGGTGCGGCATGGCAGAGGCCCTGATGGGAAACTAATTTTCTAAATGGTTTATCTAAGGGAAGAGGTGCTATTCTAATAACCATTTGCTTTTGTTTAATATAATGCAATTAAAATTATTTGTGGCTTTATAGATCTAGCCTTAATGGAGGAAGGTAAATCTGTTTTCCAAAATCCACATCCTAAAGCCAATTTGAGCAGTGCTTAAGAGAACCGTACTAGGAAAACTTCAGTGTATCTTAACATTTTGTTCTGAATTAAATTTATCCGTGTTCTTGCTGCAATTATTAATCCATCAATTTTAAAGACTAGATTCTGTTTCCACCACCCCCCGTAAAATAATCGGGTGGGTGTAACTAGCTCATTTCCAACTATGGTGGCCAGTTTCTCCTTTCTAAAATGTGCTCAGATACCCAGTAGTGGATTAAGAGTACACCTGAAATTTTGGTATCAAGATCAATTTTAGTAATTATCCATTATATCCATTAGACTTTAATTAAATTAAAATGTATTGCATTTTTTTGAAGCTATTAAATTTCAGAATAAATTTAGTAATCAATCTACCATATAAATTAAGTCTTCAGAGTTATGTTTTGGTTAATTGTCAGATTTAAATTTTCTGATGGCCTTAAACATACCTGTATAGATATGTCTTTGCAGTTCTTTAACTCAACGTTTAAAACAAATTGGTCCATGGCTTATGTAAACACTTGAAAAATAAATCTATTTAATTGTTTTATGTCCTTCCCTTTTAAGCAAGTATTTCTTTGAGGAGTTGTCTTGCTGCACTTCAGTTACATTGGTGGTTTTGTCTCAGTAACTGGGTTTACCTTGGTTCACCTCCTCAAAAAACACTGTTCTACAGCCTTTATGATTATTAATTCAGTAGTTTTATCATATTTTTGCTATATTTTAAAACTCAAGTATTTTATCCCATAATACATCCAGTGGTATTAAACACATTTTTCCTACAACATT